GGTTTCTCAACCTTGGCAGCCTTAAGCTGTGTGTGAACTTCAACTCCCAGAATTCCCCAGCCAGAATGCTGGCTGGAGAATTCTGGGAGTTGAAGTCCACACAGCCTAAAGCCGCCTAGGCTGAGAAACACTGGTCTAGAGTGACTACAAATTAATTGTGGCATGAAAAGCACAGCGAATTCTACCCTCTTCCAGTAACCCCAAATTTCTAGACTTATCAGCTGCTCACATTCACTGGTCTTTCATTCTACATACCTGTCACTTGACTCCAGTTGGTAAATCTCAAAGCTCTTGATCAGAGAGACAGTTGGTACTCATATCCATACCATTTTGAGGAAAAGAAAGAGAATGGACAGTGCATCGCCCTGAGGTTCTCAGATAGAGGAAAGTCCAGGTTAAAAAAAAAAACTATTTGTTTAAATTAAATTATTCATCTGTTGAGATCTACAGCAGAGATCTTTCTGAAAATACAATTCAAGTCCCCATCTATCAGGGAAATTAAGAGGGTCTTTTTCTGTCTTGCTTTGAAGCTCCAAAATTCCAGAGCTATATTTAGCCTCTGCTCTTTCTGTCTCTCATGAATCTCAAAAAACAAACCCCTTTAGCCAAGGCTTTAAAAGTCACTGATTCTTTTATTTCTGATTTGATTTGTTTTTCTTTTTCAAATTCTGCAATTGATGTGTTATTGGAAAATTTAAAAGATGTGAAAGTGACCCCTCCCAGCTTTAAACTGTCAGCCATCAAAGGGGGGCGGTGTACTGAACAGAATGGGGGCATAGAAAACAAGTGACTGAAGAAATGCATGATAACTTTGCAAAAATTGCAAAGTGGTGCTTTCTAGATGGTTCTAGAAAGCACCACTTTGCAATTCACATGGCTGATGGGGAGCAAAGCTGTGAAATATAAATGGAATGTACGTACGCATCTGGAAGAAGGCAGTAGAATTATAGTACGCCAGTAGTTGGTGACAACCAGGATTTCTGTGCCTGAATCCTCTTCATGTTGCAAGTATGATTAACGTAGCTCCTTTGTAGCACATTCTGTCTTGCGCATAGCAGAATATAAGGCCATCTCCCCGAAGATGGCATTCTCAAGAGCTGTCAGACCAACTTCTAGAATTCTCCACCAGCTGCCTAGGAATTCTGGGTGTTGAAGTCCTACACATCTGGAGGCCACCAAGTGGGAAAAGGCTTTCATAAACTATAAGTGGTTCTTGGAAACACAAGAAAGTTGAATAAATGGTATTATTTAATGGAGATTCAGTAAAGCATGAACTGTCAATGGAAGGCTCAGGCCCACTGCAGGGATATTCTCATGTTACTAGCTAAAGCTGGCCCATGGAGTGATAACTGTTGAGCTGTCACTAGGGAAAACATTCCTCACATAGTTGTGGAGAGTGAATGGAGATGAATGACTTGTTGAAGGCCAGCCTCCCAACATAAGTAGGATTCTGCTGGTGAGCAAAAAAAAGGACAGGTTGGAAATGTTCTTATGATACAAGACTGACAAACTATTACTGCAGAAAAAAATCAGCCACAGTGGCTTGTATACATGCTTTTGGGGTTTAAACCTGGCACCTTGGCTTGAAACAGTGGAATCAGCTGAAACTCTCACCCCATCCCTAATGCACGTTTACTTGGACTGCAGTTTTTATCATCCTCGACTACCAGTGCCTAGCAGGCACATTTTGCCTGCCCTGTATTTGTTTTGTTCTGGAAGCCACATGGAAACCTGAGAAACTTTGCAACCTCTGAATAGCCCAAGAAGCCAGTGAAATGTCTGGGGTATCCAGTTCCCTGTTTCTATAGACAGGAAGGTTATCTGAGGACAGCTACTTAGGACAGAACAACTAAGTTGCCACGAGCATGCAAGTCAGAGGGCCTGAAAATATACATCATGAGACACAGCTTCTTCTTTGAAAAATTCATCCCACCAGCATGCTATGTATCATCAGAATCAATTACATCAGAATCCCAATATTCAGCTATTTTAGATACACCTAAATGGATCTTCCCAATCTTGCTTTAAATTTGTCCATTTTTGGACCATGGCAGTTGGTTCAGAAATCTTTCCCATAGAGCCAAACCTGAGCACCTAAGTTTGTTCCAATAGTTTTTCTCTTTCTGTATTTCCTAAGCATTACCCTGGAAGTTATAGCCCTCACCTTACTTGTAAACCTTTGTATTGCTCGGGGTTCCCTCGGGTTTATTACACATTTCCTTTCTGCTAGAGATAATTTGCCAGGATCTGGATCGCACTGAGCACTTGTGTTCATCTGAGTGGCTTGCAGTTTGCTTGAAATTACAGCTGAATGCCGAAGTCTGAATGCTGAGTTTCTTTAATGCTAATGGGGCTAATACTATAATGATGCTCCACTGTGTTTGTATTAATTACCAGTATATTGTTATAACAAGTCTTTGGAACTTTTGTGAATCAGAAGAATCGAATGGTAGCATCTGGATAAGCCAGATACCCTTATCTTGGGCATTTGTGGCCCATGAAGGATAAACTATTTGCACAAAGTTCTCAGCAGACTGATCCAAGCAGTTACTTGCAAAGAATCATGACAACTTTATAGACAGGTAAACCTTCTAAAAATGAGTTTGTAGTCATCTAGCAGGCCAGAATAAGTATTTGGGGAAAGTGTCTTCCTGCATGGCATGGCAATTTTGCAGTCACTTTTATGTTTACAAAGTGTTGAGTTTTAAAAGAATTTAAGAGTGGTTTGTGTGAATATACAAGCTTTAAAAATATAAATGCATTAACTCTGTGTGCGTATACAATAATTGTGGGGAAAGAAGAGAGAACTGAATCTATTTCTCTGTCTCTTGTCTGAAAGTGTAGTCTTGTAAACATTTTCCAAATCCTTTAAAAGTAGAGAAGTCCAAGGAGTTCAACTATTAAGAATTCTAAGATGAAGTGACTTGATCCAAACTTCTCAATGTCACTGTGTAAACTAGCCACCAGATTTCATACCTGATGCTGTGGAGCAAAAGCTTAGTGTGATACTTATTTTGAGAAAGGACATGTGTAGAAATGCAAGGCTTGAGAGAAAATATATTAAAAGAAAATATCCAAAGATAGGCAGATTTTGTAAGATTTGTAAAATTTGCACATGAATGGGGAACAAGAGAACACAGACTTGTGGATGAGCAGATACAGGCATGGACATGTCCTGTCTTCTTAATTTGCCCATTTGAGAGGAAGAAGATTGAGCCAGATTTTCTCTTACTGGTACATAAAATCAGGATAAAGCCAGCTTGATCTAGTGGTTAAGATGCTGGACTAGGAGCGGGGAAACTTGAGTTCTAGTCCTGCCTTAGGCATGAAACCAGCTTTGCGCCAGTCACTTCCTCTCAGCCCTAGGAAGAAGGCAATGGCAGACCACTTCCAAAATGTTGCCAAGAAAACCACAGGGATTTCTCTAGGCAGTTGCCAGGAATCAAGACTGACTTGAAGGCAGATGATGATGATCAGCCTTAGCTTGGCTCCTGGTAACTTGGTGGATATGTTTCTATGGTTCTTATTTTTTAGCACCAATACAGGAATGGTTTTCCATTGCCTCTTTTAAAGATATTTTTTCACCATTCCAGTCCAGCCAATAGCCTGGTCTCATCACCATGTATGGTGGATGTGGGTTCTTGGAAAATAGTAGGGGGAAGGAATGTGTGGCATGTATTTGCCCAACCACTACCCTTCCAGAGCTGGCCACACCTAGCAATGATTATCCATGCCTTGATGACAGTCCATCTTGACTACAGGGCACATCCTGTTGGGCTGCCCTTGAAAAAAAGGTCTGGAAATTGCTATTGGGGCAAAATGTAAGAGTCGGGCTGCTGACCAAGGTACAGGTTTGGTATAATGCCTGTTCTGAAAGATCTGTACTGATTGCTTGTTGCTTACTGGGCACAATTTAAGGTGGTGGCATTATTCTTTCAAGACTTAAAGAGACTGCCTCTCCTGTTACAAAGCTGACCAGCAGTTTTGATCAGCCATTCTGAAGATGTCCTGACTGTTAGAGATTCTTCTTTCTGGCACATTGTGTGTGTGTGGCGGGGGGGGGGGGGTCTCGTACATTGCTCCCAAACAATGGAATAGATCTATTCCACCCACCCACCCAGGTTGTGTTTAGGAAATCTGTAAAGATGCCTCATTCTCAACAAATGTTGTTTATATCCTTGTTAGCTTTACTTGGAATTTTTAACTTTTTATATTCTGTTCACATGTAGTTGGGTACCTTGCATGCTTGTCAGAGTGGAAAGGCAGGGTATAAATCAAATACATTTAATTAATAAATAAATACTTACCTACAAACAACCAAGTTTGACCCTACATGGGAAAAGTTGGCCAGATACTGCCACCTACTGAGATCTGCTGGAACACGTTGGCTCCTAAGTGCACCTCTCAGTCCATTAAAGAGTTTCTTTGACCTGGCAAATCCTCTCCAGCTGATTAACCTCCGGGTGAACTTTCTGGGTGAAAGCTCTCATCAGCTCCTTCATCCAACGCCTCTCTTTCTCTATACTCAACATCCTTTGCTCAGTGACCTTGAAATGGCCTCTGATTCCTTACCTGTGTAGGTGAATAAATGCTCAGGCTTTCTCTGATGCTGTTAAACCTATGTGCCAATGCTTGCAGCTAATATTTTGGATCCCCTGAATACATTAAAACATTTTAAAATCAAATTGGCTACCTTGAGCTGCTACAGAAATGTCTTCTTAGTTGCCACTTTGGTATGGTCCTTAAAAAAAAAAAAAGCCAGTATACAAGAAAATGTTGTAAAATGAGATGTCTTTTTTTTCTAGTAGCTTCTTGTTTCCCAATAGGACAAGAATAACCATCAGACATAAAATATGATTGAAGGTTTATATATGTTGCTTTCATTAGGATTAAAATTCTAGGAAAGAGATTTTGATTGATCACAAAGAAACGTTTCCTATAAATGGAAGAGACCAAATGGCACATGGGTTCTCCAGTGAGACTGTTTTTCTCTCACTAAGATTGTTTCCCTAATTATCATGTCTTGGTTCCTAAATTTGTTTTCAGGTTGGTACATTCAGGGCCTGGGAAGGGCTCCCCGCAGTCTGGGGTAGATTTATCCTTTGCCACTCGAACAGGTACACAACAAGGGATTGAGAGCCATCTCTTCAAAACTGAGACTAGCAGAGACCTTTCACTGTGGACTCGGAGCCTAGTTCAAGGTTGCCACAATGCAGCTGAGCTCTCCATGGAAGTCACAACAGGTAAATCGACTGCACAGAAGTTTCTTGGCAACCAAGTTCTTCCAGAGCGGGAGAAATTTTGGTGGACCTCAGCAGCTTCTACCAGTGGCAAACAGGTTGAGAGACCATACTAGATGGTATTGAAAGGAATCTTTTGCATTTTGGAATGATTGGCCAAAGAGCAAAGTCAACTCTGATCCAACATCTTTGTTCATCCTGAATGGCAGATTTTTTAAGAATACTAGCCTGGGCTGTTGTTTTGTTTAAAACATTTGATCAATGGTCTGGCCTCAGACTTGCACTTTAAAAGACATAAACAAACATAGGGAGGAGGAGGAAAGACCAAACTCAACAACAGTTCTGGTTACCAGCAGAGATGAAAACAATTCAGGCAGCCTGCTGGAAGATGTACGTTGAAAAGATTGAGAGTAGAGCAGCTGGTCTCCCGGTGCCCTAGTCTTGCTCCCTTTCTCTACCTCTGCAGTGTCCTGGTCAGACAACCAAGGCAAGTTTTACAGGTTCAGGGCCACAATAAGAGTCAGAGGGAAGCTCTATGGGATGAATTGAACTTCAAGCTTGCCAGCTGTGACCTGAAGTACTGAAGCTGTCCCTTGATTACAGAGCTTACAAGTTGACTTGAGCCCAGTCAGTATTTCAGCCTCACAATTTGCTTGTTTTGTGAAGATACAGGATAAAATGAGGGCAAGAACACCCACTCCCCATGTCTGCTTCTTTAAGCTCCTAAAGGAAAGGCATGTAATATTTATCAATAAATGTAATGTTTATCAATAGATTCCTGGCTATCACAAGAGGTGTCTTAGCATCTAGAAATTTTGAAAAGCAAGACCAATTGGTAAACCTCTTATTCGCTGAAAACTTCACTTTACTCCTTGACTGTAGTATTTTCCCAAAGCCTGATAAACCAGATTCAGGGATGCTATAAGATACCCAGCTCCCTTTTTAATTAAACAGACAGCAATTGGTATTACACCATGGATCTTACCAGTTTTTAATGGTGTACGGTCAGCTGTGCTGAAACCTTTGTGCTATATTAACCTCACTGTTACAATCATTGGAAAGTCTTTCCAATTAGCAGGGAACTCATTAGCATCCCATTAATCCCCAAGCTACTACAGGTATCAGAGTGGCCTCATAATCTTTTATTAACAATATTATGGCTTCTAAAGTGCCATAAATCCTGTTTGTTCTTGTTTTCTTCTTCAGCTTGCACGTACAGAAACCAGGAGTGCCGTTTGACCATCCATTATGACCATGGATTCTCCCTTACAACTGAACCCCAAGTTGGTGCCTTTCCCAAAACTATCTTCCAGTATCCCTACGAGAAGCTAAAATCATCATCAGATGATGGGATTCGGATACTCTACTTGGACTTTGGAGGAAAGGAAGGTGAAATTGTAAGTGTTGGGTTATTTATTCACACATGGAAACCCTGCAGACAGACGGGAATACATTTTCCTGTTCCTTAAATTCAGCAGCTAGGTCTGAATGTAAAATTCTGTTTCTTTCATGGCCTCTCAATTCAATTGGATTTTGGATAGACAGAGCCCTGTTCCCCACTGTCCCTGTCAGCAAGCAGAAGATCAATTATTTGGGTAGGGAGTCAAATGCTAGGCTTGGTTCTCCCTCACATCTCGTCACTGGTTTCCTAATACAGTTCCATGAATACAGCCATGGTGGGATTACAGAGGTAACCTTGTGTCAGCCCTACAAGGTAGACCAGACTAAGATACTGTACCAAGGTTAGGACTACGTTTATTGCTACAATAATGGAAACTTGCAAGTCTGAACATGCTCCCTCCTTCCTTCACTTTATCTAGGGAGGGGCTTGTCTGAGACACTTTGTCAAGTTATTTTCTTGGCCCAGGGCTCAAGGCCCACTTATCTGGCCATTACCTTGATAGTGACTCTTCCTGTCCTTCAAGATCATTCCCTATGCCCTCCACATCATGTTAAGATGTAACATGCCTGGATTACTCCATTGTATAATCTATTGCGGCTCAAAATGCTGCTGTTTAGATGGCCAAGGCTTCAGTTACAATGCTGAGAAATTCATAATGCTGTATTTCAACTAAAATACTTGATGGATCGGACAATAAATTCTGGACCCAGTCCAGAATTAACTACATATAATAACTCCATGTCTCTTTGTGTTCTAATTTCAGCAACTGGACCTTCATTCCTGTCCAAAGCCAATTGTATTCATCATTCATTCATTCCTTTTTGCCAAGATTACAAGACTTGGATTGGTAGCATAAATTGTGTCTATCAATAGCAAGAACAAAAAATGGAACTACTCCAATCCAAATGTCCAACATGTTGTCAACACTGGGAGCTACTAGGATAACATATAACTATTCTGCAGATGACCTGAAGCTCAAATTGGGGGCAAAGTCAATGTTTTGATCAAATATAATAGGGCTCTGAAGAATAAAAGTTATCAGAAACAGGAGTATTTGCTTCAACTAAAACACGTTGCAAGGGAAACAACATTGATTGCTCTCAATAAAGCCGAAATTGAGTAATTAAGAAGTAATAGATTAATACTATATGATGGCATTTCAGATTCATAAGTGTGCCTATATGTATGATTTTAGAGTAGTACTTTCCATCTTGGGTTTTGAGACTCTCTGGGCTTCCCTGGAAGATGCAGCAATTTTTCCATGAAAAGATTGGTAATGGTGGAGTAGCTTCTGTGAATGCAAAGTTTTTCCCTTCTCCCATTCTTTGTCTTCCCCACATTTTAGAATGCACTCTCTATTTACCTCCAGGATATCTGGCTGACTGTTTTTGTAAATTGATAATGTATTCTAAATCCTTTGCAAAGTGCAGAGAAATTGAGGTGGGTAGAAATCCCCGAGAGTAGGAAATCTAAAACCCACTGAAAAGTAAAAGCTAAGTAGATAGTTACCATCAACACAGAATTTTTAAAATGAGCTCTGTGCACTATAGACTGTTTTTTTTCTCACCAAACTATATTTCTGTTTTCAAAAAGCAGAAAGAAAGTATCTATGTACAAGTTAGTGGTTTGCTTGTCAAGGGAGGGGGAATGGATTTGACATCCACTGTATTCTTTTTCCAATCAGGAGTACATCAAACTTTGTAACTCACATGGGCAGAGCTCAAGTTGCTACAGGCAGACTGAGTTTGCTGACTTCTCGAGCCCGCCATAAAAAGGGCACTCTGAGTGGAGACACTTGGAGTGAGATCTCAAAAATGTCTCAGATAACACAGACCAGCAGTTAGACAAGACACATTGGAGAATTTGCTGCAAAAACAGTAATGCCCATTCAGCTGATAAAATAACATAACTTTTATAAGATGCAATTGTTCAATTGACAATAATAACTTGAGTAGGGTGGGAGGTGGAATCTGGTGTACTTAATGCATTTTAAAATGTTAAAGTGGAAGTACAGTGGAAGCAGTGCAAATGATAAGCATCTTAAAACATCTTAAAAAGAGAAAATGTATTTCCAATTAGTCAAGGGTGGCTGAACCGTGGTTCAAATGTGATACTGTCAATGGAATTTTGGCTCATGCATTTAGTGGCTCGTAATTCCCTTGCACTGCCCACAAACCCTTTGCAACTTTTTGGCTGTAGGCCCTCCTAAAGCAAAGGAGAAGCTTTTGTCATGAGGAAGAAAGAAGTAATCCAAGAGGCAGAGGTAGGTAGCCTCCAGGAGAGAGAGGAGGGTGCTGAAGACGTGTGGATGGAAAGGAGACAGAAGAAGCAATTAGCAGTCAGCAATGTTTAAAAAACTGGGAGCAAGGCAAAGAGGAGGAACAGCAGCCTCAGCTAGAAGGTGTTCACAAAACCCTTAGTGCAGAGAGGAAAAAGGTGTGGGTTTTAACTCAGAGAACAGGGGAAATTTGCTGTCCTTTATTAGGCACCGGGGTCCATCGTGCAAAAATCAGAATAATATCATGGGGTATCTTTTCCACTGATGCTCTGGAGACCTCACTTAAGTAGGGAAAGGAAGATTTATCTGCATCCTTCAAGGCCTTTTCCCTCTTCTCATGGCTTTACAGCATAGGGATGGGCATAGGGAGAGGAGTAAGTCGTGTGTGACCTAGGCTTTTCACCACCACCCATGCTCAGCATGTTTCCCCAAGGAGAGAGGGTATGGTCATCTTCCAAGACTTTCCAAGTTTTTAATTAGAAGAATCACAAAGCTTCTCATTCTAACTATTTGAGATTTTAAATGTTGTGTCATGACAGTTCATGGGTATCCGAAAGTTACAGTCTGTAGTTTGGGAATTCTGAAACTTGGTGTAGGCTGAAAGCTTAGCAGCAGTGGCTCATCCTGGTGACTGGCTTTCACGGCATTCACACTTAAGCCATAAGGGATCTATTCTGTCTCATTCTGGAGGACAAGGACAGTCACATCACCAGCAGCCTGGATTGCTGCTGAAGTGTCATTTTAAAGTCATTTTCATATTTCTTGTAAAGGTAAAGCCTTCTTAAAGTCAAACTCAGCTTCATGTAGTTTTCTTGGCTGCAATATGGGCACAACGGGCTTGTTCCTGGATGCTTTCTCTCAGTCCAGCCTACAGCTATAGACCTTTATTTCTGGTTTTCCTTCCAAGTACAAGCCACGTCCAGCCCTGCTTAGCTTCTTATTCATCTGCTGAATGACTGTCAAATATATCAATATTAAAACCCTAATGTCTACACCAAAAGGAAGAAGGAAAAACCTGGGAGAATGCAACTGTTGGGATACAGCACTACTTTTATTTTTTTAAACACTTATTTGCAATATTGATGCCCTTTGACAAGAGACACAAGTTAACCCAGTTGTGCTTTTTTTAATTTATGGACCATAGTAAATAAATACATTTTTTAGGGTTGCTTGGATATGTGCAGTTAGTTGGGAAAATGTTTTACTGTGTGCCCCTGAATTCCCAACCTGAATCTATGCTATTTCCATGCTACCTACAGAATACAAATAAATAAAATAAGCCTTTATGAGGATAGCAAAAAATGGAAGTGTAAATACAAAAAACCTTGCTTGCTTTCAACTTCATTTGAAGAATATTCTCTGCAGTGTTACATCCTCCCTGAAGTAATTAATCTAGGTTTCAAAGTAATTTGATTAAGAGAAAAAACAGGATTCATAAAGGCTGCCCTGTTAATTCTTAAACGTGATTAAGGTAATCTTAGGGAACATTTCAAAGAAGATTGGAAATAAAAGCCCCCTAGATTGAGCTCTTAACCATGGCTAAGATTTTATATATGCAGAAGTCCTACTATAGGTAGTTCTATAAAATAGCCAATTGCCATAAAATGTCTACTATATAATTTCTTTCCTAGCATTTTGCTAGTAATATAAAACTTAATAAAACATTGCTTGATTTTGAGCCTGTGTTGTTCCCATGTGCCCAGTTGGTGCCTAAGCTTCTACTTTTCATTTCATGTGGAGCTTTAAATATATATATATAAAGTAGAGAGACCTCTCTTCTCCAGAGGTGTCTCTACTTTAAAATAAATAGGGATATCTTTGCAGATATGGAACTTCCATTGGTTGGTATCTGTCAGTGACTTACATAATTTGTGATTTAAGCCACATTTTGTGAAAAAACAATAAGGACTCTGAACTAACACTTTCCAATGTAGCAGGATTTTCAAGTTCCTTCCATGGCAGTATTTATTATTGTTAATGAGGAAAAGCCAGAGCATAAAGTAGAATATTGTGTATTTTAGGAAAAGTTAATGCATATGTAAATTCTATTGTACTGCTACTATCAACACCTAACACCCCCCCCCTTCCGCACTGGAATATTATAAATATATCTGCTTTGTATATAATCAGGATTAATTCATTAGTTATATCATGTAATGTACGGTGCTCAAATTACAACATGAAGAAGTGAATAACTAATTTGCAAAAAGAAATATAAATATATATTTATAGTCAAATACAGATTTTGGATGACTCTAGATGGGGTTACTTTAGATGGGGTTGATAGAATGAATTATATGGAACTACCCCAGATTTATAAGAATTTAGTCTACAATATTTATATTTTCAAGAGGGGGGGGGAAAAGACTATATTTAATAAAGTGTCATTTATTGGATTTTTTTGGTGAGGTGATAATTTATTTGACAAGAAGTCATGGATTTTTATTTAGTGGTTTCAGCCTGCTAAAATGTGTAAAAAACAGTGAAGTACTGATTTCATGGGATGGGAGCAATTGTCCCAGGTAAGTTCTCTTACTAAATCACTGTTTGGTAGCTTAGTTCATTGAAATGAGCATCAACCCCATTGCATTTCACACAAATATATTACCAAGTTTGAGAACAATGGGCTCCAATCAACTTAGCAATTGGACCTCTCTCCAGTCTTCTGGGGTCTTTATTCATATCCATAAAAATGAAATTGGCTATGAGCATCCAATGTTTCCTCATTTCAAAATGTACATTTCAAGCAGGGCATTTAGATTGTAGAACAACTGAGTAAGAATGGTAGAGCAATGCTAAGGACTGAGCCTATAAGGTCAAGGGTTGCACAATGCCCTGATCCATTTGAACAGAACACTAGCTGGAGGAGTTATACTTCAAGGATGGAATGAGAGCTAGAGAACAATTAAGAGAAATAACTGAATTTAAATATTTTGTGTTTTGTGAGTTATCCTACCTTTTTTCCCCCAAGATCTTGACAAAGTTGCTTATCTTTGAATCTGAATAGTTTGCTGTCTTGTAAAGTGAGTGAGTTCTGACTGACAACTATCAAAGTAATTTTTTCTGATGGTACTTTCAGAAATTTCAAATGTACCCACCACTCCTGAAAGGGTTGAAATGCCTGGTTTTAAAAAGTACTTACTAAGCAATATTTTGGTTTAGTTTAAACAAACCATTATTTAATTAAATCAGACATTCCGCATATTTGAATGTAATAAAGGATTTAAGTTAAAATGGAAGCAAAAACTTCCAATATCCTAGCAGTGATGCCAGGCAGAAGAGGGGCCTACTGTATAAACCTGAAATTTGAGCATGCTGTTGGTTTAATACTGCAATTATAAGAAGTTAATTGACACAAGAAAAAAAAATCACTTTTCCAACAAAGGCTGTCTTCACCCAATGTGTTTGACCAGGTCTATTAAAGTCATAGTGTCTACATTCATACATCCTAAACTTGCTTATTGTTTGGGTTGGCCCAGTTAACTGTTGTATGAACACAACCCAATCTAGCTACTATTCAGTTACATTTTCTTTAGCACTTAGCAACTTAATACAGTACCTATCTACCAAGTGAGGGCTGCCTTGGTGTAATTTGATTCTTTGTATGGATTTATGGCAAACTGAATTAGAGAGCAAAATGTACTTCAACAAACTGATGTATTGTAACAAATGCATGTGTATTGTCACAATTGGATCCCGAGGAGAGGCCAAAGCACCTATTGTCAGAGTTATGGACTGGTTGTGCCAGTAAGCCGATCACTTTTGGGGAGAGCAATGAAACAAAAGATATTGACAGAGAAACTCTTGAGCAGGGAAGTCCAGTGAAACATAGGCCAGCTACAAAACTTTCCTTGCTTGATTCTACTCTTTGTATTATGGAGGTAAGCAATCCGTAGGCTATGGGCTTGCTCTGGCATAGTTTACCACAGTTCCCATGCCACTCCACTGGATGCTTGGCTGGCTGGGGGACAAAAACTGAAAGGCAAAGAAAATCCTCACAGCTTTCCTTTTTTGCCCATCAAAAGAGTCTGTTTGGGTGTAGGGAATTAGTTTTTGGGGAGGACGGTTCTACGCACAAGCGTCCCTACATGCCCATGATTTTGAAGGTATCTAGTGGTCCAACCAGCACCTGGTACCACACTTTCAGATCCAAAAAAGAAAAATGCCCATCCCATTTTATTGTGCACAACTTTGTTATTATGGATTAGATCATGCAGGTGTGGGATTGACTTAAAAGAACAAGATTTTTGGTGGTCTTCTGGTTCAGATTTAGGGTGCTTCAGCAGAATGATTTGTTTTGAGTAACTTTCTACAAAGTGCAAGACTCTGGTTAATGGCAAACAAGATATTTACAGAGCTAAGCAACTTTTAAATCATGCAGATGGAGAAAATAGCTTTTAAGAAATTCTTTTATTATTCTAGTAAATACTTTACAATACACAAATAACTTCAAGGTCAGTTTTATTATCTCAGAGGTTTGAGAGCCTCACACAGCAGATACTACCAGTTTTAGGCATATCTGTTAACAAGGCACTTTAAGTTGTTTGCTGAATGTACCGCACTTCCTTAAAAAGGTTCTCCACAGAATGGCAACAGTTCTTGCATATGTCACTTCTCCTTGTTTTTTTCTAAAACCCATTCAATGACCTGTAAATAAGCCCAGGAAATGTAATTAAAAATAGAAATAGATATATAAACAAACATTTAAGACATGTTGGGTGATAAAGTGCCAGAAGGTGAACATACTGGATGCTGAGGTAGTTCTCCTAATTTGGGACCTAAGGAAAAACCCTGTGGATATCTAAAATAAGAGCAAGTCTTCTGCTAGGCAATGAACCAGGACTCTAGCAACACTCAGATACATCCTACAAATCAGCATTAAGGGGACGAGTCAGCCCTCTTTCAGATTCAATCAGCGTTTGTCAGTTGACTTGAGGCAGCCTAATTCATAAAGCCAAACTTGGATAAAAGATGGAAGCCAAACCTCAGAAGCAGTTACTTATAACATGGTCTAGGCAAACACTACTTACCTGTTGAACATTGCTGTTAGCAGCCTTTTTCATTTCATCCAGCAGACCCCTAGAAGTTTTCAAATCCTAAATATGAAATACATTACTTTCAAAACATGCTGGTTTATTAATCAAAACATTTAAGATTGCAAGGAAGGAGAAATAATGTCCTTATTAATAACACACTACATTATCACCTTTCCAATATATTAAAAAGTTGTACGTTTTTCTTAATTTAGAAATTCGGCAGCCAAACAAGAAAACCCATTTATTATTGTAATCTTGTCGACGAATCTCCTCACCACTTTTTATTTGTTTGCATCATAGTCTATTTATTCACCCATATTGCTATTTAATTCAATTCCCAAATGTTTATACCCAACCATAAAACCATATCAGAAGTGATGGCGTGACATACTTGTGCAAAATCAGAGGAGTTGCTAACTTAAATATGCAGCAAGGCATATTTAAGAGCCACATCAGGAGAAAAATTGCCACATCATAGAATGGCTGTGCTCACAGGCAGAAGGCTGATATCTCTCAACTGTTCCAGCAAAAACCCTTCGGTTCCTCTCATCCTGGCCTCACCTCCCTCTCAGTGTAGTGGCTTGGTAGTTCCTGCTACCAACAATCCAGGAGGGGACATCTCACCTATCATCTTCCTCCTAACCCTGATGAGTGAGGAAACAAGGGTTCCTCAGTAAACATGACTAGAAGATTCAGCTCTTCTTCCCTGTTCCTGCCCTCCCAATAAAACCATCCTATAAGAGACAGGCAAACCTTATTTTAAAAAGGAGGAATATTAAAACCCTTTTTCATTAACAATGGAGGTAAATGGATGGAGTTGTTCTGATTGTGGGAAAGCAGCAGCTTGGTTGAAAAAGAAAAGTCAGTGTTCAAGCTGACCACAGGATGGCAATGGTCTGCTATGAATAGTGGAACTCTGCCCTAAAGTCTGCAAGAAGTAAAAAAAATATTTTCTGGAACATAGCCCGAAGCTGGAATTTAAGCACTTGATTTTATAATCCATACAGAAGAATAAAGAGAGTAAAACTTAATTAGCAGCACACAGAAAATAACCCCACTATCCTAATGAAAACTCCTCACTGGGTTACCTATTTCTGCCAAGAAAAAATCATCTTCAAACATATGCTACCTTTGTTTCAGTCTTCACTTTTGCCCTGGAAATTTCAAACTTTAAGCTGAGACTTTGAAGAGATGTTATTTCCATGCGTTTTCCAACCCTGATTCACAGCTTCTGGAGTTCTGCCTTTGATTTTAAAAAGCCAAAACATTTTTTCTGTCTCCAGCAGACAGCGCAGCTGAGTTCACCTGCCTCTTTACATGATTCACAGCCATGCTTCATTTATGAATGTGGATTCTGTCTGAGACAACAGGATGTACATTGGGAATGACTAAGTTCTGCCACCTAGCACAAGAGCCCCTTTCAAAGTTTCTGAATTTTTGCATACTTTTGTCATCGAATGTTATCACCAGAGCTTCATATGGGTCCTGCAGTACTTGCATATTAAAGGACTTTAAATGAATAAATAACACCAATGTTTGGTGCTTGTTTTATTTATTTCATAATGAATGGCCAACCCTGCCCAAAATTCTCAAACATTCATCATAGTGAAGTTCTCAAAGCCAAGTTCTCATCATGCCACACACACATTTCTGAAGACCTCCATTAAAAGGCATAGATGCCTTATAGCAGGGTTCCTCAACCATGGCAACTTTATGATGGGTGGACTTCCACTCCCAGAATTCCCCAGCCAACCTTGCTGACTGGGGAATTCTGGGAGTTGAAGTCCACCCATCTTAAAGTTGCCAAGGTTGAGGAACCCTGCCTTATAGTGTGGAAAAGATTACAAAACCATTTTTAAAGCTTTGGAGTACTGACAATCCACCATCAGATACATTGTCTTGAAACAGAGAAGATTGGGACAATAGTTAATCTTCCCAAGAGAATCAAAAATCACTTCAGGAGGGCAGCACTAAGTAGTCAAGGAGGTCATACAACACTTGAAGATCTGCAGGTCACTCTTGCCTTGCTAAGTCAATATTCATTACTGTTCCATCAGAAAAGCTTTGAGTAAAAATGAAAACATGGAAGAATTAACAAGCCAGAAGTCACTGCTACATAAGAACTTTGCCCCAAAGCACCTGGATGGCTCTCCAGACATATGCAGGAATGTTTTATGGACAGATGAGTCAAAAGTGTAATTTTTTTGGACCACATTGGGAATGTTCTGTGTGGCAAAAACCAGACACTGCATTCTACAAAAAGAATTTAACCATGTATTAAATTGGAGATAGTATCATGATCTGAAGATATTTGCTTGAAGGAAGCCTAAATTTGTATCCCAGAATTCTACAGGGGAATATGAAGCCATCTGTGCTGAAGCTGAAGCACAAGCAGCTCGTGGAAGAGAATGCTCAGATATACCAGCAAGTCTGTGACAGAATGGATGAAGAACAAGAATTCTTGGTGTTTGGGAATGGCCATGTCAAAGACCAGATCTCAATCCCATAGAAATATTGGGGCAGGAATTGAAACAATCAGTTTGTACCAGAAAAACTTCAAATACTTTATTTCATGCTAGAAAACCCTGAAATGGAGCAGACAGACATGGAGAAATGCAACTTGACAGACTAAAATGCAAAAATTCAGAAAACCCAAAAGGGTAAAAACCTTTTTTCATAGATCTCTATCAATGTGTTGGCACCACGTGCCAAGAAATCCTCTCGATATAAAGGATAATGCTAAATATTCAGTTTCAGTTCAGCCAAAGAAGTGATGCAACAAGTTATTTAATATTGACTGGACTGTACACCCCTGAGAACACAGTACCCCTCTTCAAAGACACCTGCGTGAGATCTCTGTACATTACTAGAGCAGCATTTTATCACTAAATTGATAAACTATAACTTGGGGGCATACCAAAAAAATTGTTATTATATTTGCCAACTTATCTCAGCATTTACAGTGTATCGCGACTTCTCAATTCCTGAAATAGGGTAATATGATGGCTTGCATATCACCAGTTAGGGGAAAACAAGGACTGAACTTTTCTCCTTTTAAACCATCCAACAAAAACCTATTATTCCACAGCTTGATCATGTGGTATTTTGCACATAGAAAGAGGGAACATTTGAGTACCTTTAAGTAACACTTGGATATTTCAAATAAACGTTGACTGCATGTTGTAAAGCACTTGTGGTCTTTAGCGATGCCATGCTTCTCAAGAGTATTCCTCACTACGTCCTTCAGCATCTTGGAGGAAAAAGTAGGCATATTTTAAATTCAAGAGCCAGCATATCCGCCTTTCTCTCAAGGCACCAGTTACTCTCATTTCAGCTCTGCTCTGTAACCATACAACGTATTCCAGAGGAGCAAAACTCCAACCCATAACTTCTGGCTTGGAAGCTGCAGATCAACCTCCTGAGTTGCCAGCAGGCCACAGAAGGCCTTTTGGTGGTGCAGTGATGTCACCAAAAAGGATAGGGTTAAAAAAATTCCAGCTTGGAATTTCCTTTGCAGGCTGAGACAGCAAACAATATGAGCAAAATGGGAAAGCAGTTGGAGCAGAGGGTTACAGAACAAGTTCAAAAGGATAACTACATGTAGCTCGAGGGCTTCCAGGTGAGATTTACAGGATTTATGCCTCTCTCACACTGCTCTAGGCAAAGTAAAAACAGCTAGAAATGAAGTTATATATGTTATCTTGAAAAATTCTTTACCCGTGTATGCTTCTGAGATCTTGATTCCTTTCTGGGCTTCAGCATCTCTGACTCCTCATTACAGTTCTGGCTTGCTGAACTGCTCCCGGAAATTACTTTGGTCACCCAATTCTGAGAACATTTGACTGCTGCAGTGGGCAGAGAGTCTGAAGTCTTCAGGCAATGCTTGGGGACAGCTGCTCGGCAACTTCTGCTGATTCTGCTTGCCTGGGGCAAGGCAGAATCTGTACCTTCAGACTGCAGTAACCTGAAACGAGGAGTGAAAGAAGAGGAGCGTATTTCTTTTAAGAAAATGTATGTATGCTGGCTTTGATTTGTTTTTAAAATATTGTAACATTGGCATCTATCAACATTATCAGCCTGAAAGAGAAATGAACATATTGATTGATTAGGTGCCATCAAAACATTGCCTTAGTGACCACATTAAATAGATTCTCTCCATGACCATCTGTCCCAAACCTGACCTTGCAAGTCTTCACATGCAAATACATCTATTTTGATATATGGCACAAATGATTAAATGGAACCACTGTTGGACACGTTGCTCTCAGCCAGCATTGTGCAAGATTTTCCAATCTCCTACAGGGCTTATGAAAATGCCACCAGATCTTACTTCAGTATAGAAAAGGTTACACTGAAGGTTATCATATCTGAAAAAATGATAGGGAGGAAGAAAAACAACAACATTATGTAACAGCTATGCAAAATAGTGATTAAGAGGGGAAAAAAGATCTCAACTTCTATTTATTTTTAAATAGTATGTTACCTCCTGTTGGGATAAAAGCCCTCTAAATCTTTTGATCTCCGTTTTAGCTTAGATGTCTCTGTTTGGAGCTCCCTTTGTGAAGATTCCCCATCAGGGACACTTCCAGGCTCTGACGAAACTGCCGGAGATGGCAGGGGACTCCAGACACAGGGCACAGGGCAAGACTCCTTTGTGCAGGTGGTCTGAGTTTCATAACGGATAAGCCGAGACTGAAGTTCAGCAAACTCCCCATCTCTTTCCAAAGCTCTTCTGTTGTCAAGGCAGTACCTAACATTCAATATTAAAAACAGTTTCAGAACCACCAGCATTGCAGAAATTCTGGGCTTATTCTTGAATAAAGAAAAACTTGATGCCCTTTCACTATCTTGCTGCATGGAGATGTCTCCCTTGCGTCTCTTACTTGGATTACTAATGAAATTCGAAAAAGAGATGCTCATTGTTTGCTATGAAATAGAATAAATGGTCTCACAGATCATGTACACATTTCACAACCTGCCAAATCTCAGTTCACAATCTACAGACAACTGTAACAAAATCATCATTTTTACTTTGAGAAAGTTATTTTCTGCTAGCAAGAAACAATAGGTAGAGTAGGATCTGGGGTCTCAAGCTGGAATCTCTATGAAGCTAAGCAGATAACCTTTGGACTAGTCATGCTCTATCTTATGGGTCTCTCAATCACTAGGTGATTCAAATTCAATTACGAACAAGAGTTGTTTCACGAGATGGATGGTGACAAATTTGATGAATAAACAAACAAACAAACAAACAAACAAACGTTCATTCTTTAATGCTTAGAGCAGGGTAAATATACATAGCTTCCAATGATCCAATGCATTTCCCACAGTGGATTTATTTGCTTGAAACAGTTTCATATTGTCCTTCATTCTCACCTGCATTTCTGAGCAGTTGAACAACCATAATCCAAACAAAAAAGATCAACAGAATCAAATAAATGGGCAATCTGCATGAGTATATCACTCTGCTACCTGAGAAGAGATTTAAGCCCTTAGAATTTGGACAAGATGTCATGCATACTCAGAAAAGGTTATGACATGAAGAGAAACTGTCCATTCCCCTAATGGCTGAGCATCCCGGGGGTGGCTGTCTCCAAATGCCAATTTTCCTGAAGGCAAACCTGTGAGGCTAAAGGAAAAGGAACTTACTCAAGAATCTATGTACAAGATGGAGAGAGGATCTGAGTCCCAAAAATAAAAGCATGCTTTTGAATTCTTCATGTTCTGTTTCAATATCCATTTCTCAGAAAGGTATGTTGTCAGAGACCAAAACTGAATACAAGATTGAGTGGGGTTTGAGCCTCAAAGCTAACTTACATATTTGCCCCCACAAAGCATAACAAAATGCCTATTTCCCAAGAGGCATTTGGTGACAAACCCTGCAACCAAAATCTCCACCCAACCTCTCCAACACCAGTAATATATACAAACCTCTATGAAATACAGTTACCTCTATGAAACTGTAACACCACACAGTAAATAAACTGAATGAATGTGAAAAGGCACTAATTTTTTTTTACATCTACAATAAACACATAATATCTTTTCCTTTTTCCTTCTCTTTTAACTTCCTTTCCTAGATGCCTCTCTAGACTATGTCTTTTGTGGGGAGAGGAGAGCAACTTTAAAACACTGGGCTGCCAAAGGCAATCACTCTAAAACACTCAGAAGTGTTTGGAAAAAGAACAACGGTGTCTTGAGAGTGGGCTTCCCTTTGCCTCCCAGCACTGGTTGGTTTATTTCAGTGTTTCTCAACCTTGGCAACTTGAAGATATGTGGACTTCAACTCCCAGAATGCTTGGAGTTGAAGTCCACAAACCTTCAAGCTGCCAAGGTTGAGAAACACTGCTTTATTTATTTAAAAGTTAGGAAGGGTATGGACCTGCCAAATTTGCCCTAACAATTCTCTAAGGTCAGGGCTTGACCTACGGAATTTAATGTGATGCAGAAAGCCACGAACGTGACCATGGAGAAGGCATCCAAAAGCAATTAGAACAATAACGGGTGCAGAAGAAGTGTTTGGTCCAGGGGGCGGGAAAGTATTAGAAAAGAACTCAGACTAGCTATTCCTGAATCCCTGGGGCAGTGTTTCTCAACCTTGGCAACTTGAAGAATTTTGGGAGTTGAAGTCCACACATCTTCAAGCTGCCAAGGTTAAGAAACTCTGGTTTATTTATTTAGAAGTTAGGAAGAATAGGGACCTGCCAAGTTTCTTCTTCCTACTTCTATTTTGCCATAAAAAAACATTAAATCAAATAAACTACAAGCTTAACAGCTTTACTTTCAACTGACAGCACTGTCAGAACATGTTTGGTCTTTGCCTTTATAAACGCATGTATTCAAATCAAGACATTACCTTTTGATTTCAAGCAACAGATCACCAAATGTGAAAAGAACTGGTACATGCACATATTGTACGCTAATGTTTAAATATTTTCCAAAACTTGATTTGTACTGAATGAGAGGGGCTGGGAAAATAGTTCTTACTCAAGACCATGGTAATGGCAGCCAGCAGCTTTTTCAAAAGGCAAAGCTCTCAGTTTTCGAGGTGTCAATTCAGGTGTCAAAAAAGCACTGTCACTGAAAAAAGCATAGAGAATTCACCTGAAATCAGAGTTATTACTTCCTTGTAGGAAAAAAAATACATTTTTACAATATGAATTGGAACAATCACTCTCATTAGCAGCATATTATGAAAACTACACATTTGAAGCTCATCTGATTTGCAGCATGTTCATTTTATTTTTTATGTATTTCTCTCATTTATATACCATCAGGATCCAAGGACTCCTGGTAGTTAAAGCATATAACATTGATAAACGAAAGATGAAAAATATAATAAAAATAAAATTGCCACTATAATTACAATAATCAAATAGAACCATCCAAAGTAAGGCAACCACAACTTTGAAAGACCCTTTGTAATAACTTCATCTTGACCACTTAATCAAGTGAATCATCATATAGCCTCAGGTGGAAGCTATCCCATAGGGTGTGACAACTCCCACCCATCCCAAGCCATCATCAAGTTCACCTCCTATGGTGTAAGAATCCATAGCATCTTCATCTGGGACAACTGTATTAGACAAATTGGTTCTGCCTGGAGAAGGGGGTCTTGCAAGTACCTAGCAGCCGAATATTCAGGCTTTAAAGCCAAACAGCACCGAACTGTACTCAGAAGCTTACTGGAAACCAAAACAACACCTGCAGTATAAATGTAATATGGCTGTACAGGTAGTCCTTGAGTTACAACTGCAATTGGGACCAGGATCGCTGTCACTAAGCGATGCAGCTGTAAAGTACAATGTTACGTGACTGCATTCCTTAGCGACGGCAATCCAGGTAGTCCGGTTGTTGTTGTAACCCAAGACTCGCAGGTCGTTAAGCGGGAAGTGGATGGAGTCCCAGGTAAGGAATGCGGGGATGCTGTAGGGGGGTGGAGAAGGCCCTGGGAGGCCTGGCACAAGCTGCACGCAAGTTGGGGGAGGGGGTGCTCAGTGCAGCGCAAGCTCAGAAAGGCCAGGGAATTAGGGTGCAGGGGGCATGCGATCACAGGGAGGCCAAGGAAAGAGGGCATGGGGTGAGTGCATCTAAGGGAAGCCATGGAAAGTGCGTGGGGTACATGTGTATATGTATGGAAGTGCAGGGAGGCCAGGGAAAGAGGATGTGGAGCGCATGCATGTGTGTGCAAATGCAGGGAGGCCAGGGAAGGAGAGCTTGGTGCGTGTGAGTGAAAGGCCAGGGGTGGGGGAGACTTACTCCAGCAACTTGTGACATTCCTTGCTGGCTTTCCCTTGACTTTGCTTGGGGGAAGACAGCTGGGAAGGGTGCAAATGGCAATCACATGACCGTGGGACACTGCAACTTGTCATAAGTGGGCTGGTTGCCAGGCTCCCAAATTTTGTTCACAGGACTGTGGGGATGCTGCAAGAGCCAGAACTTCGAGGACCAGTCATAAGGACCTTCGTTCAGCACAGCCATAACTTCAAATGGTCTGTGAACGAATGGTCGTAACTCAAGGACTACCTATAACAGGTCTCTCCCATCAATACATTACACCAATTGCAGTTTCTAAGTAATAGTCTTCAATGGTAGAATGCACTGCAGTACTCCAATATGGGTGGTGGGATGAGGACATGATTGCCAAGTTCTTCTGCTTAACACAAGGCCACAACTGTGCACCAGCTGAAGCTGGGCAAAGGCCTCCTAGCCATGACTCCAGCTGCATATCACACAGTATGCATGGGTCCAGGAGGACAGCCAAATTGCAGAGCTCCTCTTTCAGAAGTGCCACCCTCTCTAGAGGCAGCTCTGGAGCAAACATAGCCAGATTATGTCTGGATTTATTTTTAGCTTCCTAATCTAACAATTGTGGATGGTGGCCCCACATTGTTTAGCTTCCAAGACTGGCCAAAGTTGATTAACTGCTACCACTTGCTGAACTGACCTGGTACTAATTTCCCTTCTAGTGATGACTTCAGGAATAGCAACAAGGGCTCTACTTCTCCACAATCATACAACACTAGCTGCGAAATAAGCTAGCTATGACATAGATTGTACTGAGAATCTCTGCTCTGTACACTGTTGTACTTTCAAGTCCAATTCCTTGTAAAATTTCAGAAGTCATCTAGAAATTCTAGGTTTCAGTGCCATACATAGTCCTATATAACTCTCCATTATTAGAAGCAATAACAATGGAGAGTTATAGGAATTGCACCAATAATCAAATATATATTCAAGTAACAGAATTCTCTTTGTCTTGGTAGAATATTTTGTTGCTTTTTAAAAGTACAGTTTATACATATGCTGTCACTGGTTAATCAAAACAAGACAACTTGGCTGACATTCCAAAAACAGCTTTCATTCCCATTCATTAAAAAAAATTGGCTTAGATCAGACAGTATGAACAATATCCTCCACCCTCAATTTTCTAGATTAGTTCCTAAAAGTAATTGTAGTTTGCCATAATGTGTATTTGCAAACTATGATTAGCTTTAATCCTCTGAGCAGATGGTCTGAAATTCTGTTGTCAATGTCAGAGGACACACTATTAGTTGTGAGCAATAACGTGAAAGGGAAACTGCATGTAAGGAAGGAAGGAGGGGCCAAGCCCCACCCCAACTCCAATGCTCCAACCAGGTTTTAAGACTCATCTGAAGGAATCCCTTGTTATCAGTCTTCATTAAGGTCTATCAAGATTATAACTATATTTCAGTGTTGGTTCAAAGGTTTCTGTAATAATGCAGGGTAAAACAAAACTCATTTTAATAAATCATTCTGAATTTCTCATCTGCATTTGTACTGCTGCTATATCCTTCTGAGCAATACATAAAGTTGGAGTTTGCAACTTGAAAAAAGACCCTGATACTTCAAATATGGGTGTTAGAACCAGTATCTGTTAAATTATTTGAGGTGCTTCAAAAGACCACACAGCTGGAAAACTGTGAGCTTACATAATCAGTAACTACACGTGAATGCTCCCAAAAGCAATCATATTCCAATGTGCAGAAACAGAACTTGTGCTTAGGATTCTCATCTGAGTCAACTGAACCCAGGGTTGTATGTGCAAGACAAGGACTTACTGCACCTCTTTGGAATGTGCAAGGGCTGCAGATCTCCTATAGGCAGTCCTTCTGCAGTGAAGTACTTAAGCATCTCTCTAGCATCAAGTAATGCTGAATCCTTCTGGCCATTTTTATGGCCCAACAGCTGCTCAGAAACTCTAAAAGGAAAATCAAACAGATGAGTGGAAAGCTACACTGACATGACAGTTACACACCTTCACATAGCTGTAAATGCTTACCTTGTTTTTTGCTTAATCTTTTCAGAATTTTCCAAGTTCTGCAGGACATTTCTTTCAGGCCACTTCAAAGGATTTGAACCTTTTAGCTCCAGTTCTGAGAATGGTTGGGACAGTGGGTGAGAGGAAGGGCAAGAAGTCAAGGCAAGCATTTAATCCACTGCAAAATCTATGGACAGTCATCGTCTGCTTTAATCCAGACACAGCAAAGAATGTGTTAGCTTCCCATTTTGTGTAATTAAAAGTTTTGTGGACCAAAGTTTGAATATTTCTACCCAGCTTCAATAAAATCAATTATTTACAAATCTCTTACTTTTTGCAACAATTAGAATACCTATTGCCTACATACTATAACAGCAAGTATTATTAGCTTCAGTTATACTTTGTGGTAGCAACAAAAATGAACAGTCACAACATAACATGAGACAATTGTAAAGAGACCAAAGTCTTGCCCTGTGCTCTTTCTTATCCTTATTTCAATCTTCTTCCTCATTCTCTTGGTGGGGAATACCAGTGGTCCTATCCACCAATACCTTGATAGTATTACCTGCTACAAAAAGTTGTCCACCCCAAGTCCTCCATTAATCAACCCCAAAGTTCAATCACCTCCCATTTCTCTTCTTCGCATTCTGCATTAAATTTGAATGGATACAATATGAATATTCACTTATTAAAACAGTCTAACTTATAGGCAATGTATCTATATATTTATCCTAATGATTCTAATTAAGTAACAAAATGATGCCTACCATAAACGGCTTCCTGATCTCTAGTTTTAGTCATTGCTCCTGGACAAACAGTACTTGGATAGCTAACCTTCCATAATTCTAGAAAGCGTTCCCTAGTGTATGTTAATAGATTTTTCAGTTCATTCTTTAAAGCAACTGGCAGTTGCCCAGCAAATGCTTGTCTCTCTGTAAAACAGAAAACGAAAGCTCAGCTTAATTTAGGGGTCACTGATATGCTATTATGAACCCAAGATGTATATTAATGCTATTTCACTGAACTGAATTATTGCATCATCCTGTTATTAAAAAAAACAGGGCTACAAATACAATCACTTATATAAGCTTATGGAGAAATGCCTTTGCAATTTGCTAGATACACACACTTGTGCATATCATTTTAGCAGGCTATTCACAAAACATTTTCTCCAAGTTATACTTTTCTTTCAACAGTTTTCCTGATTTACTGAACAAGTTTAGAAGAAAGCAAACATTACAGACTGGAAAATAGAAGGCACCACTCAAGAAGGAATTCTCAAAGCAAAATGAATGGGACTGTCATATCTCCCTAAAGCAGTGTTTCTCAACCTTAGTAACTTTAAGATATGTGGATTTCAACAAACTCTTGGGCAGCTGTTATCGCCAAGCAATGAAAAGTGTAGTTAATAATTAAAAATAGAAATATAGGGTAAATCCAAATTACTTCAAATCAGATATTGGAAGGAAATTTATTTATCATTTTTATTTTTATTTTTATTTTTTTATATATATATATATATATATGTATGTATGTATGTATGTATGTATATAAAAAACATATATATATATGTTTTTTAGTGCCTGCAGAAGTAGGATGGGACTATCTCTAGTCAGGTAACCTGGAGCTAAATTACCCAATGTTGGGAAAGATTGGAGAGAAAATCAATATCTTCACCTACACCTTGTGAGTGGTAAAATTTAGTTAAATAATTAACTTTTTAAAAAGGAAATTAGATTTAAGTGATCTTTAAAGCCTGCAGTTCTTATACACTATTATGTAGGAGGAAGTCTGAATAACAAGCACTGTCAAATTAAACTCCAAGTTGAGATAACTTTAGTTTATCAGTTTACTAGCTAGCTGTTCCGTGGTACTCACTCAGGCAGTGATTCAAAGTCAGTACTTGGAGATGAGCAAGTTTCTTCTCTCTTTGTAAAATCTGTTCTCCATAAAAATGTGGGAAAACTTTGATAAACTCTTCAAAGAAACCTGTGTTGATAAGGGAAGGGATGATTAAAAAAAAATGAAGTGATCAAATTACATCAAATTCTAAAATTTAGCAAAATAAATTACTTGAGAGAGAAAATATTAGACTATGATCAGGGAAATTAGGTTCAAGACAACCTCTACACACTGGATGACTTTGTAGAGAGTACCATGTACATTTTATTGAGGCTTCAGGACATATATCCTCTGAATGGAAACTGGATTCATTAACCGAAAAGTATCTGTAGTACAGGTAGCCCTTGAGTTACGGCAGTAATTGGGACTGGAATTTCCATCGCTAAGCGATGTAGTTGTAAAGCACAATGTCACATGACCACATTGCTTAGCAGCAGCAATCCTGGGGCTCCCTGTTGCTGTCGTTAACTGAATTCCACTAGTCATTAGTCAAGGACCCACCCCAATCCAAGCCATTCTGGGCTTGGTCCCTACCAGCCCCGAGCCTCAGTTCTTCCAAGGTAAGGGACAACCTCTCCTTCAACTCCCCCAATTGTCTATTCCCCTCCATCTCTTCCCTTTTGGTCATCCTGCACCCAGAGCCACAGCACACCAAGAAACCACTGAGCCCCAGCCACCCTTGGAAGCCCCAGCCTGCCCCAGCCCAGTCCAGCGGCAGTCATCCTTGACATTCTGCACTCTAAGGCCCCTGCTGCCCTGCGCTCTGCCGGTCCAGCTGATCTCCGCTGTCTTCTTGCTTCCGCTGCTGATGAGGCATGCCCACCCTGGCCGTTCACAAGATAGCTGCTGGCCATGTGAGGCTGTCTTCCCCAGGTCTCACGAGGAAAGAAAGGTTTTCTTGGGAAGAAAACCTTGTGCCTTGCAAACAGCCAGGCCAGGCACGTTGGTCAGCAGCGGGAGCAAGAAGATGGCGAAGGTCAGCTAGGGTGGTAGGGGCCGTGGAGTGCAGGGAGCCAAAAGGGCATAAATGGGAGGAAAGATAGGCGGGTGTGGGGAGCTGAAGCATGGGTATGGTCGCAAGTGCAGATGAGCTGCCAAGTGCCCGAATGTTGATGATGTGACTGCAGGGGCACTGCAATGGCTGTAACTTCAGGCATGGGTTGTAAGTCCCTTCATTCAGCACTGCTGTAACTTTGAACCGTCAATGAATGGTCGTTAAGCGAGGACTACCTGCACTAACAGATATGCAGATACCTGTACTAACAGATGTGCTTAAAAAAGGGGGGATGTTAGCAATAATAATACCCATAATTTGCTGGTGCTTAAAAAAGGGGGGATGTTAGCAATAATAATAGCCATAATTCACTGGTCTAGCACATATTTTGCATGTATGCAGAGCTGGAAGAACTCTTTCCTGAGATCTTGGAGAGCCAATGCTAATCAGCATCAATAATACTGAGCTAGATGGATCTACAGTCATCTTCTTATGTCAGTGTTTCTTAACCTTGGGAACTTGAAGATTATGAGAGTTGAAGTCCACACATCTTCAAGTTCCCAAGGTTGAGAAACACTATCTTATGTTTTCAAAGCAAGCGGGCAAGTATGTTTTCTCTATACAAGATGTTGTAAACAAACAGACAAAAAGGGGGGAGGTGATCCAGAAAATGTCTGCCCAAGTTTAACAAGCCCTTGGTAAAGACCTAGAGTGGAGACTTACTTTCCTGGAGAACACAGTGAAAGAACAAGTCTAACCTATGCAGTCATGACTGGACAGTCCCATCAAGAGTGAATCAAGATATATCTTAATGTCAAATAAGATAAACTCTCAGAACAAAGTTGTACTTTGGTTTTGATATTTGGTTAAAGAAGATAATAGATAAGGCTATTCATGATCAATGTGTTTAACTCACAGATCTGATTAGATTTCTGTGATTTTGTAAATAATTAGTATTTACAAAAAAGGAATTATTCAACTTAAAACTTGCCCTACTGGAATGAAAATCACACATTTTTGCCTCTTAGTTCAAATACAAAAGATATACCTGCTTCTGTTTCTTCTTTTTCTGTAGTTAGCTTTCCTATAGTTTCTGCAAGAGTGACAGAGCCATTGATCTGACTGGCTGAATAGATTATTGTTGCTTTACATCTTCCACAGCCATTGCCTTGTACCAAGAAATAATAATTGCAAGTTTCTCCTTTAAGTTCGACTTCTGGAACTAATGAAAAATACATCTTAATATTTACAAAAACTAAAAGTGATTTGTTCATAAACATATACCAAAAGCCTAAATTAAATCAGCATGAATTCTAGTCTTCAAGTAGCCTGGATTCCAGTTTTCAATAGTGAGTTATCTAAAGTTCAAACTATTTTTTTGAAAAAAAGTTTCTTTACAGTTAGCATCATTGTTTTCCCAATCTGATATTCTCCAAATATACTGGACAACAATTCTTATACCCATTGTAAACCAACACAGGTTAGAAGGCAGCAAGTTGAGAAGACTGATTTAGATTAATATGCTTAGAACATTATCTTTTCCACCAGTAGAGTGGGGAAATAAACAGTTCTCTCTGTTATGCTCTTTTTAACAATGTATGTTCTACTATTCCTGTGCTCAGGACAGCTAAATAGATCATAGGATATTTCAACTAATAAACCCATGAGATTTGGCATTACATGTATAAGAAAATATAGAAATAAATAAAAGTCATTATCACAGATTTTCTTTGCTAGGTAATGTTCTGACCTGAGCAATTCCTGTTCAAATATGTCCATGTAAATGCAGAGCAAAGGACAAACAAGAATGCATATGTGGGCAGAAAATGAATAATTGACTCTGGTTTGCTAAGTGAGACTGAGACCAGATTGTGATGTTTAGACACCACTATATTCACCCATCATAAAGAATATGTGCAGAAAGCCAGTGGTGCGATGGTTGAGGTACTGAGCTAGAACCAGGGAGATTCAATATTAAGTCTCTATTAGATCACAGAGTTCACTGGGTGCCTTTAGGCCATTCTCTTTCTTTCAGCCCAGCCTATTTCACTGGGTTGCTGCAATGAAGATATAATTAGACAAGGCCTCCATTGTATTCTTCTCAGGTCTCAGAGAAAAATTGAGATATAAATGCAATCACTACATAAAATCATGCTAAAATATGGGGGAATCTGTGGGATTTGAATGCTTTCCCTAATGTTCCAATTTTATAATGGCATGTGAGAAAGACCTTGGGAGACAGGGCCAAGAGATGCTGCCAAGGGAATAATCTGATAAGAGACAGCATAGCCCGCAGCTGGATAGTGGGTGGGGCAAGAGGCTCAGAAGAGACCCTCCCTAGTTTCTCAGGCTGTAAAGGAGACAGTGGGAGAACTGTACTTTCAGACTTGCAAGACTGATGTCAGCCTTACTAGGTAGACCAGACAGGAAACACAACCAGATGAGCTAATTCTACTTCATTATAAAGCTACATTATAGCCGCCCAGAGTCACCCATTGGGGGGAGATGGGCGGATAATCAATCAATCAATCAGAATCTTGCAAGATTGAAAGTACAATTCTCCCACTGTCTCCTTTACAGCCTGGAAAACTAGGGAGGGTCTCTTCTGAGCCTCTTGCCCCACCACTATCCAGCTGTGGGCTATGCTCTCTCTTATCTAACCATTCCCTAGGCAGCTTCTTTTGGCCTTGTCTCCCAAGGTCTTTCCCACATATCATTACACATTTCTTCTGGCAGATCCAGGTAGAGTTTGGAAGCTTTCATTTCTGCTTTTCATTAATCACAGAATTGGTTAATTCAGATACAGAATTGTGGTTAATCTTAACTTTAGTCTGAACCAGGAAGTTTTGCAAACCACAATGATCAGAAACCAACTAAGTTAAGATCATCACAGTTTATCAGATTTGTACAGCATGGCTAGCAGTAGGGTGATCAAAAGCAGAGACACAAGCTTTCCAACTTCTCCGCTGACCATACAGGAAGAAGGCAGAGTAGGGGAGATCAGTTGATGTCCTTCTTAATCACAGTTTTCTGTACCATCCCAACATTCTTGATCTTTCTGGCAATGTACTAAAATGGGGGTAAAATGGCATATTGTGCAAACAATACAACTTTATGGCTGGTGTGGGTCTTCCGGGCTGTGTGGCCGTGTTCTGGAAGTTTTGTTTCC